TCAGGGGTCCCACCATGTGACGACGAGAAAGAGGCGATGGAGTGTAAATTCGGTGGTGTGACGCATAGTCTGCGACGTGTGTGGGCAGCACACACGGTGATGTCCAGACTGATGGCTTGATTTACTCGATTGTGGCGGACAAAGCAGCCTCGTGTTACTCGTGGTTGTCCGATGGGTCAAAAGCCCACCAGCTCCGGCGAGGCGGATTCGAACCACCGACCTAAGGATCACTGCACCAATCTACAGTCCTCCGCTCTACCAACTGAGCTATCGCCGGACGCCCGCACACCCACAACAATCACTATCAACATCAATCACATCGTCTACTCACTCAACAATCAATCAATCACTCTCAAAACCACAACAACATACAACAAACCAGTACACGTACACCCACAGTCGAACACAACCACACAAATAAACCCACACATTCACACACACACACACACAAACAAAAACTCAACAGTCACAAACACTCACCACCAAAATCAACCAAAAACACGCACGAACACACACACACACACACGCATGCACACGCTCACGATCACAATCACGCTCAGGCACACGCACAACACATACACGTACATGAACCTATTCACACAAACAGGTACACACTCAGCACGAACAATCACACAGCGCACACACACAAACACAACCACGCACACATGCATACATAACACAAACAATTTCTCAGTGACCACCGAAACACTCACCACTACGCAAATACTCCTCGCCACACAGACACAGACACACAGACACACACACACACACACCTATAACACACATACAAACAGCCAGGCAGGCAGGCAGGCACACACACATACTCCCTCACAAACACACTCACTCAAACACACACGAAGAGGAGTATTTCCTTCCTGACCGAGTGTCCAACAACAAGTCTCGCCGCCACCGTTTCACTCAAAATTCCTCTCCAATCACGACAAATGCACACTGACTATTGCCAATCTCCTCAACCAATACAAACATTCAATGCAAACGAACGCAAACTGACACGAACACAGTCAGACAACTGCAGACTACTCATGGATAATCAATCATCTGTGTGACCACCACTCGATGTGAGAAAACACCCTTGACTACATAACAATGACAAGCTGAGTAAATTGAAGCCACTTCGCGCCACCGTCTATCTGGTCAATGCTCTATCCTATCTATCTTATTCCTTTGCGTGCCTAGTCGAACATAGGGCTTCAAGCTAGAGCTTTGAAGTTTCGATAGCAGTGATGTCCATTCTCACGCCCATCCGTCCTACTTTACCAGTCCTATTACCGGCTTAACGAGGTTTCGGAGTGCGTCGACTGGGGATCGAACCGCGAACCACATGCGTGGTTGGCGAGCAGTCTACCGCTGCACCAACGCCGCCGTCAATGCTCACTGAGTGACATTGCAGCTGAGTAGAAAGAGACACGCATCATCGAGATGATTATGATGATGGCGTCACGAGATGAGTGAGGTTGTGATAATATTCCAGTCTGGTGTAGTTCGGGGTGGTGATTATGCGAATAGAAGGAGGATGGGAGAGATAGAAGCGTGCGTAGTGAATGCAGTAGTGGTGTGTCGGATCGTCCACACTCAGGGGTCCCACCATGTGACGACGAGAAAGAGGCGATGGAGTGTAAATTCGGTGGTGTGACGCATAGTCTGCGACGTGTGTGGGCAGCACACACGGTGATGTCCAGACTGATGGCTTGATTTACTCGATTGTGGCGGACAAAGCAGCCTCGTGTTACTCGTGGTTGTCCGATGGGTCAAAAGCCCACCAGCTCCGGCGAGGCGGATTCGAACCACCGACCTAAGGATCACTGCACCAATCTACAGTCCTCCGCTCTACCAACTGAGCTATCGCCGGACGCCCGCACACCCACAACAATCACTATCAACATCAATCACATCGTCTACTCACTCAACAATCAATCAATCACTCTCAAAACCACAACAACATACAACAAACCAGTACACGTACACCCACAGTCGAACACAACCACACAAATAAACCCACACATTCACACACACACACACAAACAAAAACTCAACAGTCACAAACACTCACCACCAAAATCAACCAAAAACACGCACGAACACACACACACACACACACATGCACACGCTCACGATCACAATCACGCTCAGGCACACGCACAACACATACACGTACATGAACCTATTCACACAAACAGGTACACACTCAGCACGAACAATCACACAGCGCACACACACAAACACAACCACGCACACATGCATACATAACACAAACAATTTCTCAGTGACCACCGAAACACTCACCACTACGCAAATACTCCTCGCCACACAGACACAGACACACAGACACACACACACACACACCTATAACACACATACAAACAGCCAGGCAGGCAGGCAGGCACACACACATACTCCCTCACAAACACACTCACTCAAACACACACGAAGAGGAGTATTTCCTTCCTGACCGAGTGTCCAACAACAAGTCTCGCCGCCACCGTTTCACTCAAAATTCCTCTCCAATCACGACAAATGCACACTGACTATTGCCAATCTCCTCAACCAATACAAACATTCAATGCAAACGAACGCAAACTGACACGAACACAGTCAGACAACTGCAGACTACTCATGGATAATCAATCATCTGTGTGACCACCACTCGATGTGAGAAAACACCCTTGACTACATAACAATGACAAGCTGAGTAAATTGAAGCCACTTCGCGCCACCGTCTATCTGGTCAATGCTCTATCCTATCTATCTTATTCCTTTGCGTGCCTAGTCGAACATAGGGCTTCAAGCTAGAGCTTTGAAGTTTCGATAGCAGTGATGTCCATTCTCACGCCCATCCGTCCTACTTTACCAGTCCTATTACCGGCTTAACGAGGTTTCGGAGTGCGTCGACTGGGGATCGAACCGCGAACCACATGCGTGGTTGGCGAGCAGTCTACCGCTGCACCAACGCCGCCGTCAATGCTCACTGAGTGACATTGCAGCTGAGTAGAAAGAGACACGCATCATCGAGATGATTATGATGATGGCGTCACGAGATGAGTGAGGTTGTGATAATATTCCAGTCTGGTGTAGTTCGGGGTGGTGATTATGCGAATAGAAGGAGGATGGGAGAGATAGAAGCGTGCGTAGTGAATGCAGTAGTGGTGTGTCGGATCGTCCACACTCAGGGGTCCCACCATGTGACGACGAGAAAGAGGCGATGGAGTGTAAATTCGGTGGTGTGACGCATAGTCTGCGACGTGTGTGGGCAGCACACACGGTGATGTCCAGACTGATGGCTTGATTTACTCGATTGTGGCGGACAAAGCAGCCTCGTGTTACTCGTGGTTGTCCGATGGGTCAAAAGCCCACCAGCTCCGGCGAGGCGGATTCGAACCACCGACCTAAGGATCACTGCACCAATCTACAGTCCTCCGCTCTACCAACTGAGCTATCGCCGGACGCCCGCACACCCACAACAATCACTATCAACATCAATCACATCGTCTACTCACTCAACAATCAATCAATCACTCTCAAAACCACAACAACATACAACAAACCAGTACACGTACACCCACAGTCGAACACAACCACACAAATAAACCCACACATTCACACACACACACACACACAAACACAAACTCAACAGTCACAAACACTCACCACCAAAATCAACCAAAAACACGCACGAACACACACACACACACGCATGCACACGCTCACGATCACAATCACGCTCAGGCACACGCACAACACATACACGTACATGAACCTATTCACACAAACAGGTACACACTCAGCACGAACAATCACACAGCGCACACACACAAACACAACCACGCACACATGCATACATAACACAAACAATTTCTCAGTGACCACCGAAACACTCACCACTACGCAAATACTCCTCGCCACACAGACACAGACACACAGACACACACACACACACCTATAACACACATACAAACAGCCAGGCAGGCAGGCAGGCAGGCACACACACATACTCCCTCACAAACACACTCACTCAAACACACACGAAGAGGAGTATTTCCTTCCTGACCGAGTGTCCAACAACAAGTCTCGCCGCCACCGTTTCACTCAAAATTCCTCTCCAATCACGACAAATGCACACTGACTATTGCCAATCTCCTCAACCAACACAGACATTCTCTGCTTATATTCGTATCCTTTTTTTGATTTATTACATATGCTTTTTCTTTTCATTTTTTCTTTTGCTTATTCTTGTGTTTTTTTTTCTTTGATTAATATTCTCCTTTGTTTTCGCTTTTATATATATTTTTTTACACTTTGTTTTTCGTTTGGTTTTTTTTTGCTTTCCTAATTTTTATTGGTTGTTTATATATTTTTGATCATCTTTTCCTCTCTCCTCATTGTCATCTTCTTTCAACAATTAACACTTTGTTTTTTTTTGTGCTCACCCTGGTTTCCTTTTTATATTTCTAGTGGTACAAGGTGTAGAAATTCATTAAAATGAATTCACGGAAACATAGTTCAACATTTCTTTTTAAACATTAAGTTAACCCAACACACGCAATGCCCAATTATTTTCAAACTGTTGAAATCGATTAATTGATGGATGGTGACTAGCAGCGGAATCCATGCGCATTTCGTCCTATTTTTGACTCGTCATCTGTATGTACCTGGATTTCGCAGTGAGTTATGATATTCCCACCGAGCCTCAAACCCAGTGCCCATAGTTTCAAACGCTTAAGCGTTATCCACTAGGACGAAATGCGCATCCTGGATTCGACTGCTAGTCACCATCCACCAATTGAATACTAATTATATGCCCAGACATCGTCGAAGCATCTGCACAAGAAGCCAATAAGTCAACCTGAGACCGATCACTTTGTTCCAATCAATCGACAGGAAAATCTAAAATTCATTTAAATGTTGAAAGTGAACTTGGTTTGGACCTATATATAAATTAAGTACTAAGCATGAAAGCGAAACACTTTAATTCCACGTATAACTTACTCGCATTGAATATTTTTCGAGGATACTCCTGATAACGAGGTGTTGATTTCTTTGATTTTTTTCTCATTGAATTCTTTGGTACCAGCTAAGTCCAGGACAAGTACACGACATGGTTTAATGAAGAAATCTTCAGATTTTATTAGATTGTAACCAATTATTTTTTCTAAGGTATGTCTATCAGTCTGGAAATAATAATAATACGTTACAAAATTAACAATCATACCTTGGAAATAATACCACACATCAAACAGGAACACTTTATAGACATTTTCTTTTTCTACAGCATTACAGTGATCAAATTATGTGAGATAGTTTTCGATTGGTTACATGTTCGACTGACGAGTTGATATCAGCTAGAGAACCATCAGAAAACCAAGGAGTACTGTAACAACAGAAGACAAGGGCCAGGCAACCGATCGTTTATTAAGGAAAATCAACACATATTTATAGATTTTAATGTACATTATTGTAGATTATTGTTAGTAGAAAATACAGTCTTTTGATTGGTTGTTTCTCACAGAAAGTTAACCTTGCATCTCTTTGTGGCTGTGTCAGATGATCCATCCATATGCTAACTGTATCCGCCTACGCAAAGCCTTTGTTCTCATTTTCTCACCACCAATATTGGGGACATAAACATTGACGTCAATTACTGTCAACCAACTTTGGCTAGCAGCCAGCTCTCACCACAGTACTAGACAGCTGTTACGTCTTAGTCTGAGACTCCTCAGAACAGTAGGTAGCCATTGGGGTTCAAACAGAAGACTTTCTCGTCACAAGGCGACCTCACAAACCTGACCTAGTGCGCGTGAATTCCAGCTTCTGTTAACTGGCGATATATATATATATATGTATATATAGCGCAGCCACGAGCAGATGTCATTGGAGAGTAAATGATTTCTTAGCTGACTTGACAGACCTCCCTGGTTACGACTTCTTTCTAGAACTCCAGGTAACTTTCAATATAGAGCCAGATTCTAAGGAGGATCAGACTAATTATCAAGCGTTGGTTTGCAGGGCTTCGACTGGTTGTAGGTTAGTCAATAAACCAGTCTACCGCGAAGTCGTAACCACTTGGGTCCATGAAGTCGAGTAAGCGATCAGCTACTTGCCCGTGACATTTGCTGCCGGTTGTGCCATATATATTAGGAAATGACAAAAGTTTGGATTCATGGACTAGTTATTATATCGGGTTATTATTAAACCTAGGGTCCTGGGTTCGATCCCTGTCGGTGCATGCGTACTGATGAAGGACTGCAAACTGTTGGGGCGAAACAACTGTCCAGTACCCCCCTGCTGGTTTTCCAATGCTTCCTTAACCGATGTCAGCTCATGATGAGATCCTGTAACCAATCAATCAAACCCATACACACCAATACTTGAATCATAAATATACCTGACCTTTCATTCAAACATATGTATACGTAGGAAATGATGGCTTTATCAAACGTCACTTACAAATCTACTTTTACCCTTGAATTTCGATGGTGTTGACAGAGCTTTAGGAGATCGAGACATTGAAGCTGTTGACAGAGGTAAAGAATCCAGTGATGAAGGTGAAGATGATGATGATGACGCTGGTGAATAAACATTGGCTAACTGTTTTAAACTTTCATCTTTCACAATTGGAATATTGAACAGTGATTCTTTTTTCAGTTGTTTAAATGAATTCATGTAAGCAGCAGTACGATCACCATTATTATTATCGTTAATACCATTCTTGCTATTACTGTTGTTACTATTTCCAGTATTAGTTTTATTACTGTTCATTTGAAAGTAGCGCGGTCGAAAGATTCTTTCACGATAATTTGATAAAAAATGTATCGGTATGTCTGTGATAGCATTAATGAATTGCAACAGACTAAGCGACTTAACAGAAATGTAAAGACGATGAAACTAAAATGAAATAAAATTCGAAAAAAGCAAAAAACAAAATGAATTATGAAATATTTCTTTTAATTCGTTTGTTTATTTGTTAAGTTATTTTAATAACAAAAATTATACTACTCATAATTTGTCAGTAGCTGTAAACCACCTTTCTTGTTACGAGTGAATAAATTTGTGGAAATAATAACGGTGATGACAATAGTTTTATTCTGAACTGTACGTTCTATAGAATAGGACAGGAGTTTTTGGCGTGATTTTTATCTATACCTTGAAGAGAACATTCAAGGAAACTAGTAATCTACAATAGATCATTCAAGGCACTAATACTATTTATTCTAAATAAAGCAAGAACAACAGTGGCGGTTTGTACAGAATAATATGGTACCATCATTGTTTATTTCGTTGGCCTCTCATCAGCTGCTGCTTACAGCCTAAATAAATTATGAGGTTTACGTACAGAAAAGTTTTAACATACTTGCCAACTTTACATGATGTCAGTTGACAGAAAGTTCCACAATTAGTGAATAGTGTTCAGAAAGTTACGCTTATATAGTTATTACACAGGCAGTTCAAGTTTAAACAAAATAAATGTATGCATACAATAGTAAAGGAGTTACGTAATAAAGACTAGAGGTGAGTAAGATGCAGAGTGACTAATAAATTAGGTAACAATGCTTTGAGTTCAACTCAAATCATAGAAACAAGAGACAAGCAAAATTACAGATTATAAAGGGGGGAGTGAGGTTAAAGACACAGATTACGTAATCAGTGTAGAGAATAAAGACATCCAGTTACCATGGCAAGGAAAGACTAATAACTAATAATAATAACAAATGATGGTACCATATTATTCTTCACAAACCACTGTTGTTCTTGTTTTATTTAAATTCATCAAGGGGAATAAATGCATGAAGTTTCTAAAAGTTGCCTCCCCGCAGAATCGTTCAAATCACTACTTATTCTACCTGAAATATACCATAACCGATGACGATTATATCCCGTCGAAACATATCTAACGGTTTACTAAAAGGCATTCATAAATGCATATGAATAAAAACTGTTTTTCAAGGGGAGTCACTGGGTGGTCAAAATAAATTAAGATTAATTAATGATGTAAGGATAAAACTTGGGCACTGTGGTGGTGAAGTATAGTTCTCTCATGGATAAAATTTTATTTTGATCAAGTCACACAGTGTTATACAGTGGTAATATTTACTGATGACCACGTTTCGAGCACAATTTATATACTGCTCATAATCATATCAAGGTACTCAGATAAAAATAATGGTGAAACTAATGGTGATAAAATAAGAAAGAGTTTAAGGCATCCACAGTTTTACCATATAGTGAGGGGACATTTGAGGCCCAACGTAGTAGAATTCTTAATAAAGCAGGAATTATAGTAGCATTTAAACCTACAAACTCACTCAGAAACAAGCTGTGTAGGCTAAAAGACCCGGTGCACCCGGGTCCTTGGAATGACTGATCAGAGTTAGGTCAACCACATAGGTCAAACTAGTAGATTAGGGGTAGTCAGATTGTCAGAACATAAGAATTTAGCTAAGCTAAGAATGGTTGACTCCGAGAAGATATGTAATTTAGAAGAAAACTCAACAATCTCACTGCATGCATTGACAGACAACCACACAATACTATGGGAGAGGATTAAAATTCTAAGAAGTAATATAAAGAGGTGGATAGACAGATTGATTACTGAATCCGTGTTCATCGAATCTACACCAAACAAGTGCAATAGAGTTGACTCAACGTAAATACCAGAGATATGGAAGATATTATTATCAGTCAAATCAGAGGATTATAAATAATGAGAAAATGTATTTCAGTTCACATACATTATAGCATTCTAACAAGTTACTTATTTTACTACAGAAACATCTTATTTCCAATCTTGTTTCCCACCTGATTGTATTTTATTGATAACACTAATAGTAGTTCCGAATGTACTTTATCTTCCACTCTGTTTTACACAAGTCTTATGTTGATTTTATTCAAATATCTAATCAATTTTTACCCAAAAATATAAAAGAAGCAAGAAAGTCGTGTGAATACCTTGATATGATTATGAGCAGTATATAAATTGTGCTCGAAACGTTGTCATTAGTAAATATTACTTACTGTATAACACTGTGAGACTTTATCAAAATAAAATTTTATCCATAATGGAATTAAGAGTAATCAAATTTGATATATTATGTTCTACGGAAAACTGTTTTAACGAGCTGTCGTGTGGTGAGAGCTGTCTACTAGCCAAATTGGTAGACAGTAATTGGCGTCAATGTGTACGTTCTCAAGATTGGTCGTGAGAAATTATGAACAAAGACTGATTCAAAACCGACCACAGTAGAATTTGCGTAGGCGGATACAGTTAACATATAAATGATCTGACATTCAAGAAACAGTCACAAAGAGATGAAAGATTAACTTTAAGTGAGAAACAACCAATCAGAAGACTGTGTTTGTTTGCTTAACTAATCTATAATAATGTACATGAAAATATATAAATATGCTTTGATTTCCTTAATAAACGATCTGTTGCCTGGCCCTTGTCTTCTGTTGTTACAATCGTAACGAAGGTTAGGAAAAATAGTTGCTTTCTGTGAAGATTTGTAGAACTCCATTAATGATGTTAATGCAGTTAATGCTAAGCTTTCGAGGGTATAATGTTTCAGTAATTCTGTTATGCTAACATCTACAGACGTGCGTCGGTGGCATAGCGGTTAGGACGCTCGCCGACCACGCACATGTCAGCTAATGATGAAATCCTCCAACCAATCAAACAAAAAATTCCCTGCAAAACTGATTCTTGTAAATTAGAAAATGGTTATTTTACATACCTCTCCCATGAACACTGATATCAATGCTTGAGTAAATGCTGTCTGTAGATTTAAAAATGGTTCTTTTATAGTCATTTTTACGCTTTCTGCAGTATCTTTACCAATTTGACCTTTAGAAGTAATTGGATAAAATGTACAATTACATTTCAATTCTGTTAAAATACTTTTTACACGTTTAGTTGATTTCTCATGAATTCGCTTTAATTCTTGCCTTGACTTGACACTGCCGACACATTTGTCATCTCCAGCATTATTAAGCTGTTTGACACCCTTCCTAGATGATAAATGTTGACTGGATGAAGAAGCCGGTTCAATGAGTCGAGATTTTTTAATTGGATTCTATAAGAAAAGAAATACATGATAATAATATTAATAAAAACTTTATTCTAAATATGGTATTTTCAGCATGTAGAGGTGTGTGGTGGCAGCTGGCTGCAAACCATAATTGTAGACGGCAGTTTACGTCAATGTTTACGTCCCGAATCAGGATCATGAGAAAAAAACAATAACAAATTTGGATAGAGTTTTAAGAAGACGGAGATTATCTGAAAAATGTGATGTGATGCATTTGTGCTATACATTTCGAACAATCTGATCACACATTTACTTGTCAACTGGATATGTATATGAAAATGTTAAATTAAACAAAGTGACAAAAAAGGGATTTAAGGATGATTAACACAACGTTTGGTAATCCAATCAAATAAGGATTACCAAGGTAAGTTAAGAGTAGTAATAAATTGTTTTTGAATACACAGGGGGGGGGGGCATAAATTTATGAATAGCTATAGCCTCGGTATATTTCAATAAGCGCCCTTGACCGTTTTTATAGATGACCTTAAAAGCTGAGTTGACATCAATCTTATGGTTCATCTCTCCTAGGTGTTTAGCTATAGACGAAGTTGGTAGTCTGACACCCGCATCTATTGGTTTTTCACAGTTCATTTATTTTTCTAGCCATTTCGGGATCTGCTCGCTGTCTCATTCTCACATGCAAAGTGCGATTACTCTTCCCTATGTATGTATGACCACACATACACGAAAATTGGTAAATAGTATGGGATGTGACATAATCACTTGTGCACTTTTAAGGTTTGCAGTGAAGCATATTTTTAGCTCTTTTGACGATTACAAGCTGGGCTGCATAATAGGTTCTACGGATGATCGAATTCAACCTTTGTCTCAAAATCCTACTGTTTATTTCCCCGTTATATGGTAATTTGATGAAAACATTTTTCTTAGGGGCAGTATGGATTGTAGGCTTAGAGACTAATTGACTTCTACATCTGTTTAAAATTTTTAAAGGATATCCATCTTATAACGCTATTCAAATTTATATAAGGGACAAATTGTTTTAAACAATAACAAAGCTTAACCTTCAGAAAATCACCAACCTATCACAGTGGAGTTAACGTGTTAAAATATGATTCGCAGATATATGGCTTGATTTTCTGAGAAACGGGCACAAAGAGATAATGGAATAACCTCCAGCAAGAAGACAACCAATCAAAATAGGTTACTTCTCCGCTAACAATAATTTACATAGAAATCTATAAATATCTCTTGAGTTTTTCAATAGACGATCTGTTGCCTGGCCCTTGTCTTCTGTCGACAGATCGTTACAGTAATACAGTATTGCATCTAATTTTCTTATTACAGGGGTAATCATTGAAAATGGGGCATCCTCATTAGTAACATTCTTCAATAAGAAGAATGAGTATGAAACTAAAATCTAATTGAAATTATTAACAATAATATATCAATGAAATAAAAGGACAAAAAGTCCCGTCTACTTAGTATTCCTGAGTTAATTAGCAGTGTCATGCCTTACATGCTTGTCTCATCACACAAAATGTGTGAGCCTGCCAAATAGGGTATTGTAGAGCTTTTTGTACTTAGTCATTCGAGTATACAGTCTTCTATAGTCGCTTCCAGTTCTAGATGCAAGGAGAGAGTTGTGTATAGTCGAGAGGATGCTCAGAGTTTAACAGGATAATATTTGCCAATTTCTTCCATGAGTCCATGTGTCTATCTATAGCAGTATTAAGAAGGTGGTTTGGTGACATCCCACTTGCCCTACTGACCGTTATTAGTTCCCTTCGTAGTGTTACAAACCAAGTTTTCTTAAGTAGCCCAGGAAAGATTAAAGAGAAGCGATAGAGAAGAATAGGTGGAATACAAAAATTAATAAACTTAGAAAGTACTTTGATTGGACACTAGTAACTAGTGTGACATGTCTAGTCATTTCTTTGGTGCATACTGAAAGCTATCAGTCAGGTTTGCAATGTGGCCACCATTCTAGGTAGCTCGCCATCATGGTGTACATTGATTTGATGATATTAGATAGTTGGAGGCAATCGACAGGAAGCCTTGCTTAACCTAGGTTTCGTGCTAGTTGGAACTCGTCACCAAGGCCTCCAACCATCTAATATCGTCAAACTTAGAAAGAAGAAACTGAGTGCTACCAAATTGTCTTAACTGCCTTACGTAGGAGTCAGTTGGTTCATGGTGACTAGCAGTGGAATCCAGGATGCGAACCTCGTCCTATTCGGCACTCATCATCCGGATATACCTGCTTCCTCTAGTGAGTAATGGTGTTCCCACCGCAGCTCGAACCCAGTGCCCACAGTCTCAAACGCCTAAGCGTTATCCGCTAGACCAATTGGGCCACGAGATCCGCCTCTTGTGCAACAGGTCTTATTAATTATGTAATTCAATTTGGATTTCCCCGTCATAGAAGTTTTCAAAAAATATCTTTCTCGAAACTAATATGATATGAAAAGACAAGGAAATATAAGAGGAAATACACAATCCAAGGTATTTAACATTGGATTTAGTTTCAACTTCTGTATCGCGTATGACAGTAGAGTCATAAGAGCGAGCCAGTTCATATAAGTCGCGCTTGCATCTGCAGTGAAATTAAAAACCTGACATTTGGAGGGAGGGATTTAGCTTAAGACTATTTGAAAAGGAACACTAACTAATTTCCAATAAAAATTTATTCATGTCGGAGCAACCTGACTGAGAAGTAACCACCGGAATAGGAACATTCAGATCATCAGCATACCTAATAAAACTGGCTTCATCAGACTGAGGGAAGTCATGTAAGAATAAAGGAAACAAAAAAAGAGAAAGGACAGCAGACTGAGGAACACCAACTAGAGTAAGTGAGGCAGTGGAGGACTTCTCACTGTAAAGCGTGTACTGCTTCCTATCAGCAAAATAGGAATGCAACCACTTGTTAAACCATCACTGTGCTTGTGACGCAGTAAACTTGTTTAACAAAACAGGCCTAGATACAGAGTCGAAAGCAGATGTGTAATATAGGAAGGTACACCGAACATATCTGACAACACTGTCTAAGTTAGAAACAATACTACGACGTAAGACATCAGTAACATCCAAAATACACCTAATATACTTATAAGCAAATTGGTTAGAGTCATCAGAAGCCTTCAATGAAGGTTCAAAATTAAGTAAAAGCAGTTTTTCCATTAATTTTAGAAAAGGTGAGATACTAGCAATAGGTCTAAACTTAACAGGTATGAAAGTATAAATTTCACATTATTTTGTTTTTAAGTGTTGGTTCGAAGGGATTCGACTGACTTTATGTCTGATTATAAGCCGACTTCAGTTAGGGGACTGAAGAGTGCTGAACAGCTCTTTTGACCCAATTTGAGACTTTTCAACCGTACACACCCATGATCATACCAGGGGTCGACTCTTCGACCTCCAGATTACAAGAAGAGCTCGTTAGCCCTTAAATTAAATGGCCCATCTGATATGACCGTCAATACAACCTGGTAATTTACGAGTCTCTCGCACTAACGAAATCGCCTATCTAATAGATTTGCCAGCCCACTTCTCTAAACACTACCCTCAACGGCAACCATCACGACACGATACCATCGACATCTGAAGCAAGAAAGAAGAAAGACGAACAGTTAACAGGAGAACTTCTGTTGTCTCGAATCAACTGCAAGGGGAATTGACAGCTATTCTGCTTATTTAGGTTGTAAATGACCCTGAGAGACACTAATTTCATTGATAAGTTAAAACAGTCAGCAGCCAATAGGGTTCAATAGTTACAAGTGGGAAATATGAACATCACGGTACTGTAAATACAGGTAGTAGCTCAAGGCTACCTCAATTCTAAATTATTCCAATTTATAATATATAGTACAATCACCAACCGATGTCATCGGCAAGTATTCGTCCTCCCACCGAACTTGCTAGACCTCACTTGGTACGAATTTTCACTAAAACTTCAGGGAACTTCATCTTGCAATAGGTCACTAGTAAACAATAGATTGATTTCTAATGGTTCTCAAATAGAAATCACTTCGTAATCAAACTAAAAAACAACTTTTTATTGCATATATCACTCTATGTGTGATCATTCAGCCTATGGGATAATATCCACTGGCCGGTGAATCCTAACTTCTGCCATTGTGCGATATATAATTCAATATGCATTGTTGTTATTATATGGTTGAAGGCAATCGGCCACGAGAAGCCTCACCTGACATAGGTTTTGCGCTGGTTGGCACTCATCAGTCAGCAAGGCATATCTACAATCTTGAAGGAACTCATATCTCCACTGAGATTCGAACCTGTGTCAACTAGTGCTGTAGTTAGAGACGTTATCATCACTGAGCTATTCCCCCTCACAAATGGCCTATAGGACTGATTGTAATGGATACTTTGATTGGAGTCTAGTGAGTAACTAGTGTTACTAGCTACTAGTCCTTGGTGCTGATATAGACTGAATTCTATCAGTCACCTTTGCAATGTGGCCACTATTCTAGTTGGCTCACCATCACAGTGTACTGTAAATTGCTGTAATTAGATAGTTGGGTAGTTGGTTGGTTGGTTGGCATGACATTAGGCAACACCTATTGTCCAGTCAAAATATGGTTCAACCTAAAGTCAGTGTCATAGTCAAGTCATCGACCTAACGCCCAATTCGATCATCCCTACCGTGTGTTGGTAGCACAGCGGTAGAATGCTCTCCAACCATGCAGGTGGTCCGGGGTTCGATCCCCGGCTGACACACTCCTTTACCTCGCTAAACCAGTAATAACACTGGTAAAGAGGGAAGGTTGGGCATGAGGAGGCTAGCAACCCCATCCTGTAAAAAGTCAACACCACTGCTACAGAAACTTCAAGCCACTAGCTTGAAGCCCTATGTTTCACTGGGAACATGAAGGAGTAAAACAAAAAACATCTGGTCACAACTTCTCATTAGAAATAAAGCGCCAAAAATAACAGATAAAGTAAATTATGCAATAATAAATACATACGAATTCATCCCCTGGACAAATGTAATCAACTGCTGATGTATCAGGGTCATTATAGAAATGGATGTGAACTTTCCCATGAAGTTTCTTCAGTAGGCTAAAACAAAGAGAAAGAAAAAGAAAAAAACGAAGAAGTAGAAACATGCTAGACATGCGAAAAACATTTAATAATAGTGATAATAATAATAACTCGTATTATTCCAAAACAGTGCTTATGAGATACAGTGTGCAGTTCTCACCATTTCCTACAAAATTTCATCTATTTTACTCAACAACAGCAAAAGCAAAAATGGAGAAAATAATATTCCAGGATTGGTAGATAATAACACATTTTCCGGTATTACCAGTGACAGTCAGTAATATAAAAGAAAAGAAGGCGTTCAGCGAAGAGACTCTTTACGGCGAATTCATTCACTGAGCTGTACAATCGCATTTATGTACAATTTTGTTTGTCTGTGTACATTATATTTATAAAGTTTAGATAATTATGTAATATAAGTATTTTTTGGCTTGGAAACAAACGTTAATTAGATAGAAAATAAAATAAAGTAAAATTGATTAAGTGAATTGGATGACGTAATACAACTGAGTAGAATTCAGAGTAGGTCAGGTTGGCGACAGTGTTAATGAGTGGTGGTTAAAATTAAATAAGGGTGGGGATAGAGAATAATACAGTTGAAAATTAAGTAAGTTAATCGGATGACGTAATATAGTTGACTAGAAATTGGACGTGGGTCGAGTTAACAACATTGTTAATGAGGGTAGAGATTACAAAAGGGTGGGGTAGATAATAATACAAATGAAGATGTGAAATAATAAAATGCAAAAGACAAAATAATACAATCAGTAAGACTGAAATTAAGAAAGATTACGTCCATTGTAGATTTAATGAATGAACAAATTTCTTTTGTATGCAGAGTTCAGGATTTAGCAGATGAATTGCCATTGCTTCTGCAATGTGGAAAAGTTTGATCCGTACACTTTTAGCAAGATTGCCTTGTATTCTGTAGATAACTTTGAAGTTTATTTGTGGTTTGACTTGGTGTCCAGAGTCGATCAAATGTTCAAGGATCGAGCTGCGGGGGCATCGGTTTTCTCCTCTATAAAACCATGAAGGTAAATGTTCGTTGACGCGTTTGGATAGCGAACGCTAATGTCAGTAATGTCGAAAATGTACCGAAAGTGTAAACTGAAGACGGTGATGTTGTTCGTAGCTCAAATTATAAATTGACTGAAACAGTGAGTGTCACCATAGATTACAAATAGGAGAGAATAAAAGAGCCGATTATTTTGCCAATATAACAAAGCATAGTAAGTTGTAGGTTTCGCGCTTACCGCTACCTCTATCACATAGGACCCCAACGGGCAGAGGAAATATGGTATTGTTGAGTTCTTGTACTCAGTTATAGGAACATATGATCTTCTGTAATGATTTCTAGTCCTACCTGGTGAGAAGCGGCTAGAGGAGAGTTGAGAACACAGAGGGTGTTAAGTGTCAGACAATTTGGATTTGGATTATTTCTCACATGAGTTCAGGTGTCTATCAACTACAGTAGTAACAAGCTGGCTAAGTGCCATACCAGCTGCCCTACCTAAAATATTTAATACCCTGCGCTATATGACATAGTCCTTTTTGAGTAGCCCAGTAGGAAAGACTAAGGAGGAGGAGGAGCAGTAAATTCAAATTGGTAAGATGCGAGAGTTAGAAAACTGTAAAAGTAGAGGTTGAGTGATTCCAGTTTACCTTAACTTCTGAATGTAGTAGGTCAGACGGAACATTTTCTGAGAAATCGACAACATATGGGATGACCAGGAAAGTCATAGGATAGAACTATTACAAGTTATTTAATCCTTCACTTAGTTTCTATTTAAGTGACCTCTAAGCTGCAAAAGTCACGTGAATGAACCAGTCCTTGTAGATCACATTCATGCCATAAGATGAAGTTAATTGTCTGACATTTCGAGGGATTTAAGGTAAGACCATTTAGCTTAGACCACTAGTTTATGCCCGACAAAAAGACATACTGTTTGAAACAGTCAGATGAGGATGTAACTGGCAACGAGGTAGTCAGATCATCAGAATACTGGACGAATTTTATTTCATTCGAAAGATGTAAGTCAGGTAAGAAAAAAGGGAGAGAAAACAGCACCCTGAGGCACTCCAGCTTCGCCTTTATAGACGGTAAACTGCATTCTGTCAAAGAAATAAGAATACAGCCAGTTAACAGCCCAGAACTACGTTTGTGTCATGGAAAGCTTATTTAACAAAAGGCATCTGAGTACAGAGTGGAAAGCAGAAGTATAGTGAAGGAAGGTACATCGGATATATTTGGCCCCTTTGTCTATGGAGGACACAGTGCTATACAACTTTAAATAAATAGAAAAATATAATAGAATAGATTTCCAGTTGTGGGTTTAAAAGAAACCATTGAACAACCTTCGACTTACTTGTCAATTTTTCCTACCATACAATCTATGAACCTATTATGACTAATCACCACCATCGTTTCCCAGTTTACACTGTTTTGTAATTGAATTGAGACCACGTCTGTCACACAAATACTACTATTCATTTTGTCACCCTATGATAACTAATCTGTTATTCTACGTAAAAATGTTTCCACCGCATAACTGGCCATAATAATAGTAATAATCACTAGCAGCTGGCCCTATTCAGGTAGTTGCCTGAGATTCTAGTAGGAAGCCTTGACCAGTGGGGTACAGTAAGTCGAAGGTGATGATAAGTACTCATCGACGAAGCCATTGAGCGAAGTGGTCGCGCTATCTCATGAAGTGGCAGAAGTGAGTCGGTGGTACAGTGGTTAGGACTCTCGCCGACCATGCACATGGTCCGGGGTTCGATCCCCTGCCAACGCACACCCGATATCTATGGTCGGCCTGTAAATTTGGGCTACCGATATCCATGCTGAAAATTCCATACTTGTACTGAAAATACGGTGTGGAATCAAGCTGTAATCAAAATAAAATAAAATAAGTTAGAATTCATGGGCTGGTCATTGGATCGGGTCCCAGTGGCTTAATGGTCTACGAGCTAGCTCACCTTGTAACCAGAAGGTCCTGGGTTCGAACTCTGGTGATGGGTGCACACTGGGGAGAGTCCCAAACCAAGACGGAGGGAGCAGCCGTCCAATACTCACATGTTTTCCGATGGTTCTTTAAATGATGTCAGCTCATGATGAAATCCTCTAACCAATCAAACAAAATCCCTACAAACCAATACTTGAAAATAATATTGTATTAATAACAATAATAATCTTTGCTTCTACTTTGCAGTTCAGATTACTGATTTAAAAAGTTTACTAGTTCTTTTCGGACATCTGACTTTCTCTTCATATACAGCCACCCGTGGTAAATATGGCGATATGGTAGAAGTTTCATATTTAGTAGCTGTACGAGTGTGAATCCTTATGAAGCTTCTTCTGGCTTAACCTCCGAAGAGATACAACGAAAAAGTTGCGAATAAACAGGATGTTCAGCATCAGAGAGGATAACTTAAGCCAACTGCTTACAAGAATTAAAATGCCTATCCACAACAATTGTCACTTAGCTGAGTCAGAGGCACACCACTAACCCTACTTACAGTTTTCAATTTTCTACGCAATATGACAAAGTCTTTTTTGAGAAGTCCAGGGAAGAATAAGGGAGAACAATAAAGAAGGTGAATGGGTAGAAAACATGAATTAACAAATTGTAAGAGAAGAGGTTGACTTATTCCAATGGAAAGTCTCAACTTCTTTACGTAATAAGTCAAACGAAAACAAATATTATAAATTAATTGCTGGATGGTGACTAGCAGTGTACCTGCAGGTACATCCAGGTGAAGAGTTCCAAATAGGACGAAATGCGCATCCTGGATTTCACTGCTAGTCACCATCCGCCAATGAAATTATAATTAAATGCCCAGACATCGTCGAAGCATCTGCACAAGTAGCTGACATGTCAACCTGAGACCGAGCACTTTGGTCCAATCAATCGATGGGAAAATCTAAAATTCAATTAAATGACAAATATTACAGTTTATAATTGTAAGAACCTGAAGAGAAGAATTTATTGAAATGAATATTCTTCTTTCAGACTGACATTTAATTCATGATATGGGAATATTTCACACTATTAAATATATACACATACTAACCTTTCAGGGATAGAACTTCTGTTCTCTTGGTTGTGTTGCTGTTTTTGTTGTTGTTGGTGGGGCAGTCGTTTTCCACCTGCAGATTTACGTCTAACTGGTAAACTGGAGGTCGTCGATGATGATGACGATGATGTTGACGATAAGGTTGTCAACGATGATGACCTTGACAAGGATGCCGATGATGACGCTGTAGGCGTCGATAACGATGATGATGGCGATAATAACGATGGTGATGTTGGCATTAGAATTAGCGTCAATTGTGGATCACCTCCTTGACTATGCTTATTCAGTATTGATAAAGGTGCAGGAAAGTGTTTAGTTAATAATTGTTGAATATGATTTGTTAATACTCTAGGCAGTTGAGGATTTGTTTCAGGCCAGGCAATAGTTTTCATAAGTGACCTTCAAAAAGAAAAAAATAGTAATTTTATAAATATTATGCAAAAATATTTGTGAACTATTCCCAAAAAATTTTCACTTTTTGGGTTTTTCTCCTTAAGTTTGCCGAAGCAATTTCTATCAAACGCTTGAAATCAAATTTATGTGTTCAGAAAGAAGCAGTTATTAGTCTTTCCTTGCCCCGCCTGGTAACTGGATGTCTCTATTCTCTCTTTCATTCGATTACGTAATCTACGGCTTTAACCTCAGCCCCCTTTTATAATCTGTAATTTTGCTTGTCTCTTCCTTCTATGATTTGAGTTGAACTCAGTAAATTGTTACCTTATTTATTAGTCACTCTGCCTCTTATGCATCTCTCGTCTTTATTACGTAACTCCCTTACTATTGTATGCATACATTTATTTTTGTTTAAACCTGAACTAATAGAGGAGAGGAGAATGGTGAAAGAGAAAATGATGCAATGCAAAGACGGACGAGAGAAAGAGACGCTGAGCTCAACTTACACAGCACTGGACAAAGAAGTGAAGAAGAGTGCCAGGAAGGACAAAAGACAATTCTACGACAACCTGGCTACTGAAGCTGAGAAGGCAGCAGGCAAAAGGGACCTAAGGACACTATATCAGATAACCAAGTCCCTATCCGGGAAGAGATCAACACAAGTGAAACCTATAAAAGACAGCCAAGGGAACCCAATTACCAAAGAAGAAAGACAGATTAAACAATGGGCGGACCACTTCAAAGGACTCTTGAATCGGCCACCACCTACAACCCGTCCAGAAATACCAACAACAGCACGTACACAACTGCAAGTTGACACCAATCCTCCAACGAAAACTGAAGTCATGAATGCAATCAAGCTTCTGAAAGCTGGAAAAGCAGCTGGACCAGATGGAATACCCCCGGAAGCACTGAAAGCGGACCCAGAGACGACAGCAGATATGCTGACTTCATTATTGCAAAAGATCTGGAAGGAGAGAAAGGTGCCTACTGACTGGAGGAAAGGTTACCTCGTGAAACTACCAAAGAAGGGCGACCTGGGACTCCGCAAGAACTGGCGAGGAATCATGCTCCTGTCGACACCAAGGGAAATCGCATCATCCTGGAGAGAATAAAGGACGCACTGGATACAGAACTCCGACCAGAACAAGCTGGATTCAGGAAAGGTAAATCATGTTCTGACCAAATTGCAACTCTACGCATTATCATCGAACAAAGCATGGAATGGCAATCAAACCTCTACCTCAACTTCATAGACTTTGAGAAGGCCTTCGACAGCGTTGACCGCGAAGTAATTTGGAAACTACTCAAGTACTACGGCGTACCCCAAATATTCATCAACCTTATTCAACAGCTGTACGACAGCGGCACATGTCAAGTGATCCACAAGGGAAAACTCAGCGAGGCTTTTGGAGTAAACACAGGAGTCAGACAAGGGTGCATATTATCACCAATGATATTCCTAATTGTGGTGGACTGGATTATGCGTCAGACAGTGGGAAACGAGAAGACAGGGATATCCTGGACCGATGTGAAGAATCTAGAAGACCTGGATTTCGCGCATGGATGATTTATGTTTGATGTCACACAAAATCGAAGACTTACAAGCGAAAACCGACAAACTGGTCGAAGAAGCAGCAAAGACAGGACTGCAGGTGAACATAGACAAGACGGAAGTTATGAAAATAACCAACCAACAACAACAACAGCAGCAGCAACACCCAGTGCCAATCACCATCAACGGGAAGGATTTGAAAGAGGTTACTTCTTTCACTTATCTTGGGAGCATTGTCTCAACCACAGGAGGAACGGACGAGGATGTCAAATCGAGAATCGGGAAGGCGAGAAACACATTCATCAACCTGAAACCAATCTGGAAATCTTCGTCACTCCTCAGCATCAACAACAAAATTCGGATTTTCAATACAAACGTCAAGTCAGTCTGTTCTTCTATACGGATCAGAAACTTGGCGGGTCACAAAGAATATTTTCAACAGGTTGCAGACCTTTATCAACAACTGTCTCCGTTCCATACTACTGAAGATGAGATGGCCGGAAAGAATCACCAACAAGAAACTATGGGAACAAACCAAAAACAAGAACCAATCGCTCAACAAATATGCAGGAGAAAGTGGAGATGGATTGGACACTCGCTGAAGAGGCCGGTGGGTGACATCGCGCGTCAGGCCATCGCTCGAGTGGAACCCGAAAGGGAAGCGGCGAGTGGGACGTCAGTGCAAGGGTGACATGGAGGAGATCGTGTGAAGAAGAGTTGAAACAGTATGGATTAACATGGATGTAAGTGAAAAGTACAGCAGAAGACAGAAGCAAGTGGAGGCGTGCAGTTGAAGACTTATGTTCCACTAGGAACCCAAGGGAACAATAATAATAATAATGAACTGCCTGTGTAAAAACTATATGAGCGTAATTTTCTGAGCACTGTTCAGTCATAGTGGAACTTTCTGTCAGTTGACATCATGTAAAATTGTCAAGTATGTTAAAACTTTTCTGTACATAAACCTCATAATTTATTTAGGCTGTAAGCAGATGACGAGAAGCCAACGAAATAAACAATGATGGTACCATATTATTCTGCACAAACCACCGTTGTTTTTGCTTTATTAAATTTAGGGTTTTGTAAGAGTTTTGATTAATTCAGAAACCAAGATCAGTTAGAGAGTCATTCAAAAACTCAAGGAGTATTCACTGTAGTTTGAGACTCCTCAATAGTCTTCACCAGCCAGAGACTGAAATCAAGGCATTTAGGTAATAATGCATTCACTATATTGTTTATTATTCATAAAGTTGTGAACTCCATCCAGGTTGGTGAACGTTCAGGGAGATGGTCTCGTAACCTAACGGGTCTGAATTTGACTGATTAGTAATTACTATTGGACCATTAGGAAACCTGAAAGTACTGGGCAGTTGTTTCGTCCCAGTTCGGAACTCTTCATCAGTATACACCCACTGAGGTACTAACGCAGAGCATTCTGGTTACAAGACGAGCCACTGGAACCTAGTCTAGTGCTGAAAGTCTATGAGCTTGCCTTGTAGCCGAAAGGTCGTGTGTTTCAACTCCAGTGGGTGCGTACTGCTGAGAAGTCCCAAACTATTACAAAACAGCTGTTTAGTCCTCCGTGCTAGGATTCCATTAATTCTCTAATTTATAGAACCTCGTCATCATCAAACCTGTAACTAATCAAACCTCTATAAAAGCCAACACCTGATAATTATTGCTGATTTATGAGAAAACGAGGGTTGTTTCTAATGTCTTATTATTATTATTGTATCCTTTAATTCCTACACGGCTTCAGCCGTGCGTCTCCATTGCGTTCTGTTCTCTGACAGAGTCTTCACCTGGCTCCATGTCCGCCCACACGCTTTCATCTCCTCTTCACATCACCTCCTCCAAGTCACCCCACCTTCGCACTGACGATCAACTCACCGCTTCCCTTTCGGGTTCCACTCGAGCAATGGCTTGTCTAGTGATGTCACTTGATGGTTTCCTCAGAGTATGGCCAGCCAATCCATCTCCATTTCTTCCTGCCTATTTGTTTCACAATCGGTTCCTGCTGAGTTGGTTCGCTCACTGCCAGAGATCTCTGTTGCTGATCTTTTCTGGCCGGCCATCTCAACTTGAGTATTAAGCGAAGACAACTGTTAATGAAGTTCTGTAGTTTGTTTGAGATGGTCTTTATGACGTGCGGTGCAAGTCTCTGATCCGTATAGAGTAGCACTGACTAATTTCACATTGGAGTTGAAAATCAGGATGTTATTTTAGATGCTGAGTGCTGTTGACCTCCACACAGACTTGAGAATGGTGAAAGCTTGTCTTGCTTTTCCGATTCTTGCTTTGATATCCTCGTCAGTTCTGTACGCCTGTAGTTGAAAGGATGCTTCCTCGGTAGATAAAAGAGGTTGTTTCTTTCAGGTTCCTTCCACTTATGCTGATTGTTGTCAGTTGTTGTTGTTGTTGTTGTTGCTGTTGCTGGTGTTGGCCGGGAATCTTCAACACCTCTGTCTTCTCTATGTTCACCTGAAGTCCTATCAATTTGTTTGGGATGGACAGGAGCATAATTCCGCGCCAGTTCTCGCATTGACTTAGGTCTCCTTTCTTTGGTAGTTTGAATAAGTATCCTTTCTTCCACTCCTCGGGTAAATTGCCTTCTTTCCACACCTTCTCCAGTAGTGGTGTCATCAAGTCCGCTGTTGTCTCTGGGTCCGTTTTCAATGCTTCTGCTAGGATTCCATCTGGTCCTGCTGCTTTTCCAGCTTGTAGCATCTTGATTGTCTTATATGAATCAGTAATATATACATGCATACATACGTATATGTGTATCGTACTTTTTTATAGGCCTTTACAGTTTGGTAAGATTGTCAAACAGAATTTATAATCTCACCCTGATGTCTGAATGTGTGACAAGCAACCGTTATAACTTTTAATGGGAGGAATAATTACAATTTTTGTATTAATCACTCCTCTTCCTCCTGCTTTTTCGCTTGAAAAGAAGATACTAGTTAACTGTAATAGTTTTATTTGTAATTAAACCTGAGAATTACATAAGAGAAAAGTAAGTTTTCAGTAAAATATCTAACATAAATATTCCTTTTTTTATTATGTGAAATATATATTTTTCACTCAGTAACCCATTGTCAGTATCACTACAACTACAGTATACTTCTCCACAACATTATCGGTACTGTTATTATAGAAAGGAAAAAAATGAAAGAAGACTCCAAAAACCAGTTTCTCTTTCTTTTGGCGGGGTATGCGGAGAAGGAATAAGAGCTATGGAGAGGGTGGGAGGAGGAGAAGGTAGAGATCTCTGGGCTAACTGACGGTTGGTCTTTTCTTCAGATATCTATACTCACGAAGAAGATTAGAAGAATTTGAATAGGATTAGTAATGAAGTTGTGTAACACCCTTTGAATATGCCTCACTTTCCCAGGATAATTTCTCCTCCCTTCATCGTTTCTATGTTTGTTTTTATGCAATAACCACACCTTTTTTGGGGAGGGGGAAAGAGACTAGTGACTGTGTCTGTCAACAAGCGTGATGGGTGGATATCATGAACAATTGTTAAATATTTTATGAAATAAGGAAGATGTCAAATTTTAAGGTTTATTGCTAGAATTATAACTATTATTATTACTGTTATTATATTTAAGGTGCGGTTTTAAAAACTTAAGCTTACGGATAGATGACATATTGTGTTATATATATTACTCCCGTCTTCCTTATGCAAAAGGCGTGTTTACAAAGACACTTTTAATTTCTAAAAACTGCTTTTATCCATATATGTGTAAAACTTGGGCACTGCTGTGATAGTAAGTAGTTCCATATTAGTCTGTTTATTAGATATATCACATAGTCAGTGAAACAGTATTATTTACTGGATGACGTTTCGAACAGAATTTATTGTTTATAATCATATCAATTGTGATCACACAACTTCGAAACTTGAGTTTTATAGTTTTCTTTGTTCTCTCCTATTCGTCGTATGGGTAGTAGACTTTACCAGATATCTGGGACAGGTGTTGGATCATTCCCATTACATGTATTCGCAGTTGGTTCGATAAACAAAGCTTCCGTTATCAATCTCTCCCTCTATTCACCCCTTTACATTAGATTTTAAAACTGCCATCTTATCCCATCGTTCTATTGTATGGTTGTGTGTTATTGCATGTATTGAGTGGTACAGCTGAGCTATTCTCTAGATTTCTTATCTTATTCCGGTCAACCAATCTAGATTTTGCTAGGTTTTTATGCTCGGCTAGTCTGATTGACTCCGTTCGACTATTTTCACCCATGTATTTGACCCGATAATCATTTCAGAAGGGTATCAGATAAACTAAATCGTTTTGTTTACTTGACTCCACAGGATACTTTAACCGACAAATCTTGTTTCTAATTAAGTTTGTGGGTGGTTTGAATGCCAGGCGCTGTTATTTCTGCATTGTTACGAATTCTCCTTAAGGTTTTTAAGGTTCCTTATTTGTATGGAAGTACTACTGATGATTTATATTCCCTATTGTTGGTGGTGTCATTATCTTGCCCATGTTTGACATGCCTGTCATTATTATTATTATTATCACTATCATTACCATCATTACTTATTTTATTTTTACATTTCCCTACATAATTTCTGACTAATTTATCAGGGTAATTATTAAGTTTCAAAGCTTCTCTCATATGCCTCACTCCCTGTCTTAGATTTTCCTTGATACTACTTAGTTTTTGTGCTCTATTACTTAAACATTTCACCAATCCTATTGTCACTGACATAGGATGGGATGATCCGAAGTCTAAATATCTGTTTGAATGTGTGTGGGTTTCCTGTAAACACTAGTGTACTTAACTTCCCATCTTCTTTCCTTTTTACGCTACAATCTAATATTGGAAGTTCCCCTTCCCTACTTTCCAGTTCATAAGCGAAATGAAATGCCTCCACCTTTGAGTTAATGTGTTCAAAAAATCTATCTATGCTTTTATCCATCGTCATTTTGTTTATCTTTGCATAAGATTTATTCATTGAAAAACCAGAAGAGGAAAAAAACCGAAAGAAGAACAGCAGTTTTCATCATTCAATGAGATTAACAGTGTAATTGAATGAATAGTTGTTTGGAAAATCCCTACTGTGAACGATCTAATCACAATATTGATACTCATTTGGATGTTATTATCATCATCCTTTTTTTCAACTAGACTGTGTATCACTGTTCTGATATTTACATGATCCTGATTATTTGTCTTTGTTAGTGTTTAATCTCTAATTAGAATGCTTCTCTTCGTTGTTGTGTTGTGTTTCCGATGAGAATTTTGTTTGAATGAGTCAAGATCATTCCAACCTTGGATGGCCTGCTGGAGTTGTTGGCGTATGATTCTTATAGACAGAGGTTTTGATCCCACCCTGTTGAGAATATTCTCCTCCACGATTCTAAGGTACTTCTTACAGTCAGTCTTTGGTTGACTAAGTTTCTTCTGCAGTACTTGTTTTGTACTAGAATCTTATCTAGCTTAATATAGCTAGCTGCCTAATGGTTCTGTTGGGATGATTTTTAGTTGTTGTCGTTGTTGAATGGAACCGTCGATTTTACAGCGAAAAACCACCTTTTTCTGCTGTCTTTGAAGAGTCTTATGACTGTGCACGTAACTCAAGGAATTTTTGGTCAGCTGTACAGTAGAACATAAATATCGGTTCAGATCATAACATATTTTGGCTTTGATCTTTACAAAGTGAATTGGAATTTCGGACTTCTTAGAGATTTCGATTCATTTTAAGGTAGACCGCTGCAAGTTAGAGAATCACTATAACGCTAAAGAGTACTTGACAGCCGTTTCTTCCTCATTTCTCATTCTTCAACAGGGACAGGACTCAAGCTCATCCATCCAGTTATGAGATAAGCCCGTTGATTGTATAATTCCATGAATTTTAACCCCTGTCAATTTTTTAAGTTCCTTTTACGTTCCCAGTGGAACATAGGGCTTCAAGCTACAGACTTGAATTTTCAGTGGCAGTGGTGCTTAATTTTACCGGGTGAGGTTGCCGGCCTCATGCCCAACAACTCCTGTCATTTAGTGATATAATATCACCGCCAACTAATGCTATGGATGAACACCTCCTTCACATACTACCTAGAGGATCCGACAGGCTACAACTTCTCATTGGATCTTTAGGAAATCATTGTCAGTAATGCTTTGAGGTGATTTCATATCTCTAGTTGACACAAGTAAAAATTCACTGGAAAATGGATCAGCAGTCTCAATTCATAACTTAAACCCTGTGCTAAAACTCGTACAAAGGTCAAAATATCAGTTTGCAGACTAAAATTCATTGTGATATGTATAAGCTGTCTAATCTTTGTCATTTAAAGGCTATAAACTTATAAATGAAGAAGCTTAGTGGTGAGATATAGCGTGGCTTTATTGTCATCACTGAAATTCAAAAGATTTGTGCAAAAACCATTCACTTCAAGTAGACATTCGCCAAAATATTAAGGAAACTGAAGAACTTGGAGAAACCAGAAGACACTAAGCATCAATTCAATTCTGATTTCAAACTTTTTACTGGTGCAGAATACTGAAGAACTTGGATGTCATTCCATTTATTTGTATCCTCATCCCAATATAAAATTATAATGAAGCACTGCACTACAACAAATCTTAGTACTTTTTCTGTGTACACATCATAGTACTATAATTCTATAGTTAGTAGTGTATATTCTTCAAAGTAAAATATTTAATAGTGGTGTTAAAGTGGAAACGTTAAAAGGGTAGATGGTAGGAGGCAACCAACAGGAGGCCACTTGTGACCCCAAAAAGCTCTGACTGCAGCGTTAGTTGATATGAGAACGAATATATATGTATGGAGGGATATAAGTTCCTTCAAAATTTTTCAAAAGAATGGTTACTGAACAAACAATATTCTTTTCGATAACACATTATTCATCCGGTTCTACAGTTATATATCCATGCATAATAGGGGATGAATTAGTGTTATTAACAACATTAATGTCGTTTAAATAATATCGAATCAATAATAATAATGATATCAATGGATTACAGTCCCATAGCATCAACATAACAATACACGCTGAATATCAGAGAAATTAGGAAAAATGATAATACAAATTCATGAATTTATAGTCTCTGCTGAAGGCTAGGGCAGTAGTAATGGCTCGACTTGCTTCTTTTACACACAAAGCACCGGTTGTTTCAAGCGAATCTCGATAGCCTCTGCTGTTTGGAGAATTCGGTACCTGGATGCCTTTGACAATTTATTTGGTACCCGATAGATGATGGAGAAGGATTCGTCAGTGTTGGCTTTGTGGCCGCTTTAGACCAGGTGGTCTAATATCGAACTGATGATGGTTTTTACAGCAACTTTACTTAGTCACACTGGTAGATGTTGCCGAGCGAGCACAAAAAATCAAGTCGCTAGATCAACGGCCAATATAACTCGCTCCATCACAAGAGCAGTTGAACTGGCAGATACAATTAGAAGTGGCTAGTCTAGGTACTTCATCTTTCACTCGAGGAATCACCATCGATAGTGCAGAAACAACTTGCCAGTGAATGTCAACAAACCTAGATCTGAGGCTTACTATCAGTTGTTTTACACGATCAAACATCAATACATAATTCACTGTGATGACAAGTGATATAGATTGGTGATCACCCTGGAAATCGAATTGAAAGAATTCACTCGGCAGAGTCACTCACGGCGACTAGACGCATGACACTAGTTACACCCAGTGTTACTAATCACTGTGAAATCGGAAGGTTTTATCAATAAAGTGAAATTTTACTTACCATGATATATTTGGCAGATGTTTTAAACTTGGTCGTGGAATGATTTTAGAAATATCAGCAGTTCCAATACTTTTCCAGTGATCACGTAAAGCCACAATGCAGGATTTAATTGTACGCTTAACACTGTATAGAATATTTAGGTGTGCGAGAGTGTGTGTATGTGTTGACAGGAAAAGAAGACAAATAAACGATAAAATTACTGATCTTTAAAAATTTAACACATTAAATTTGTCATTCTGACAATAGGTGAAACAAGACATGAGAGTAACTATTGGGGTTTAGCTAAATTTGCACATCCCGTTGACTAATTATGTTGGACCGAGATATCAGGTCTCTGTTGCGATGTCACCTGCAAGTATGGAAGCTCCAGTGTTAACTGAAGATTAAGATAATTTTTTTATCTTTTGAAATGATAGGTGCTGTATCTAACTTCCATTAGGGCCACCAACACTCACTGGGGATGGCGGTACACCCAGATGATGAGTCCCGAAAACAAGGTGAAATCGCCACCATTGATTGCCCAACTAGTCACTATCAACTAACTGTAGAGGCTTTTTCTATTATTCTATTCTAGGATTATCAGTTAGAAATCAATCTGTGTTTTATGATCACAATCATATTAGCTATACTCTCAACAGTTCGGAATTTCGAGAGTGTGTGTTTTTTATCCACTTCTTGTCAAGTAATCTACAGCAGATCATTCAAAGCAATATAATTCAACCTGAAACACTCTCCACCTCGCTTCGAACAGTTTTATCCTTCCAGAAATCTACCTAACAGCTTACTAAAAGTCATTCAAGGGTATAATTAGATGATACAGAAAAAGTTAATTTGAGTCACTGAGATGCACTATACTCTATGATATACTCTATGGTATAAACAGGACACGAAGTGACTGTCAAATAGTAATTTAGACTGACTGAAGGATCCGAAAGATGAAATATGTAGACTATACTTTAAGCTCCTTTCAATATATGATAGATTCTAAGAATCCTGATAAATTCAGGATGAGTTACAGGATTTCATCATGAACTGATATCGGTTAGAGAACCATTCTGAAACTAACTGGGACTACTGGACAGCTGTTTCATCCTGGTTTTGGACTTTTCAGCAGTAGGCACCCACAAGGATTTCCAGTGGTTCTCTAACCGATGCCAGCTCATGATGAAATCCTGTAATCAGTCAATCGAATCCCCCTACAAACCAATACTTGACTTTTAAAAGAACCGCCTAATTAGAGAACTATTTATCCAAACAAATAATAAAGACAAAGTTTACAATCAGCATATTTAAGAACAAACCATAACTGAATCAGAGGTGTGGTGTTTTACAAAACATAATTTTTGACATGCCAATGAAAACTCTAGATGTTTTTTTTCAGCATCGTTAAGAAAAATTCCCAGAGTGATTCAGCCACTCTTACTAATTAATCGAGAAAATGTCTCATAATGATAGGATGGATTAGATAAACATCAAATCATGTGAACTGAAAAGTTTAGTTTGGATAGTGTGAAATTAAAATTCCAAAGTGATTCCGGTACGTAAATCCTATCCAGTTTCCAACATGATCTAAAGTTTCCATTAATAAACTGATCACGAGCAGGCATATTTTTTATGCCTCTCTACCAGATGCACGCCTCAGTGGTGTGCTTGTGTGTGTATGTGCGATGTACTGTTACTATCCAACTGGCCATTAAAACGTTTATCAAAGTGTAATAAGAATAACAACAGTGAGCTGCTTAAAACTTGGGCTATCAAAAACCTCCATTATTATATTCTATATTAATTACTCTTTTATCACTTTGTTTCAATCGATTAATATTGGACCTGTTATGGTGTAGTTTACTCTTCTGAGCATCTAAAATGTGCACAACCTGCTGATTGGAAAGTTTCTACTAAACATGAGAAAAAGCATGGTCGCTTGGGTGGCAACGTATCCCACTAAATGACATAACTGTTCCGGAGATTTTTACTACATAACTGACAGTGACTGAGAAGTAAAGCCCAACTCCCTGTAGTCTTTAATCATTCACTGATGTCCATGGGTCACAAATTGTGCTCGTACAGCTTTTTTAATTGACTTTCAACCAAACCTTGTACATTTCTTGAATGAGATGAAGAAGAAATATCATGAGATTGGTTTAAGCTTCAGGCAAGGCAGCATTAGATGATATTAGATGGCTGGAGTTAATCGGCTGCAGGAAGCCTTACACCAAGGTTTCGTGCTAGTTGGCACTCATCAGCACGGTGTATCTGCAACCTTGAGGGAACTCATGTCCCTTCTGAGATTCGAACCCGCGTCACTCAGTGCTGCAATCAGAGACGTTACCACTGAGCTATTCAAATCAATGTGTACCGTGATGGCGAGATACCTAGTGGCATGGTGGCCACATTGCAAGCCTGACTGATAGAATTCAGTCTGTACCAAAGAAAGGACTAAACGCATAACACCACTTACTAGTGACCAATCAAAGACAGCATTAGGTTAAGCGATTTAATGTCAGTTATTAGTGTACTTAAAAATCCTCGAGGAATTTTGCTGAAAATTCCGTACATTACATAAATAAATACTGTCCAAAATAAAGCTTTTATTATTAAAATAAAAATAATTATAACAATATAATTAATAATAATCCTAATAATAGACTAATTGTTACCTTGAACATGGTGGTCGAATCAATTGCAGGGGTGATAGTGGATCGCCAAGTAATGCCTTTAAAACGTGTACTGTTCCTTCAGCTAAACTATCTACAAAATAGCCACCCTATTGTGAGAGAAAAATAAACAAACAATTGCAGAATGTATCAGTAAAAATGAATTATTATTATTCCAATGAAAATAAACCAATTATTGATTTAATTAAACGAAAAAATGAAAATATTAGTCGCCACAGGGACCGAACAAATGGTGCTTTGCCACCTAAACTAGGATTCCCAACAACTAAAAAGATCATCAGTTCAATATATACAACTGATTTGTTAAAACATGACAATTTCTGTCAATCAGTTGTTGCTGCCATGTATCAATTTAACTAGAAAAACAGTTTTTGTAACCATACTGATTAAACAGTTGAGTTTCACCGACAAACATGAAGAGTGGATAAAGGCTGTGATTCTTCGGACTGAAATTTGAATAGGTATTTAAGGTTAGTTAACAGGGCAGTGGATTAGTACTAAACGGGTCGCTGATCTAAATTCTGCTACTTACTTAGTTTGCTTCATATGAGAGCACGAAAATTCTCATTTAGACATTTAGAAGATACAAAAAGAAGATAGAGCAAGGAATATTCTTTTCTATAACTTCCCCATTTGTCTCCACAATTATCTGTACACATTATTGTTAAAGAATAGTTGTTGGTGACAATAATGTTATTATCATTATTCTCTTGAGTTCAAAGTGGAACATAGGGCTTCAACAGCACATATACATTTCATCCTGTTTTCTACAATCCTCTCAAACTGGCTCCACAATCGCCTATAAGCTCTCATTTCCTCCTCACCACATGGTCTCCTCCATGTCATCCTCACACCCAACTCTAACTCGTCGTTTCCCATTCGGGTTCCACTCGAGGGTTTTTCTGGAGCATGATGTCACTCGACGACCTTCTCAGTGTGTGTCTGACTCATCTCCACTTCCTTCAGCATATTTTTTGAGCAATGGGTTATTGATTGGTTCGTTCCTGCAGTTTCTTGGCACTAATTCTTTCTGACTCGGTTTAATAGCTCACCAGTTTTCCAGCTGGTCCTAAGCTTAGGGAGACAAGGGAAGGTTGGGTATGAGGGTAGCAACCCCACCCTGGAAAATCAATCCAATCTCTGTAGATAATTCGAAGCACGTCAAAAATATTGGCAACACTGGCAATTTTCTAAATAATACGGAGTTTTTAAGGTCAACAGAATTGCAGTTAAAAAATTAAGAAGAACATTTATGCGAAAATTGAAAGTGTAGTTGAAACAACTACCAACAGCTTAAAGAAAAGGTGAAATTGTCAAATTTTAACAAACAAATAATAATCACCAAGGCACAGGAAAGATCCTGAAGGAACTACTTCTGATTTCAAAAGTTTAGCTCTCTCAATTGGATTCTGATAGCTTCAACTATTCTTAAAAGGTAAGCTCGTCAGCAAAAATGAAGATTACTTGGAATACACCTATGTACATATATTTATAGAGAGAGATGAGGAAGTTATTAAAAAGATTAATCGTTACCCAGACGTTTTCTATCCTCAAACTAGAACATCCGAAAATAAGAATATACACTGGGAATTTTAAAACCTAATCAAATAATCTTAAATAAACTGGCTACTATCAGATATATGATGTTGTACTCTCTAACCATTCAAATGAGGTAATTAAACCCCTGTGACGAAACTTTGAAGAATACATTTATACTACTTTCTAAAATTAAGTAGTTTAAAATATTTGATAAAACAAAAAGTTCGTTTTTTCACTAAGGGGAAATGTATTCAGTAGTAATCACAAACTATTTACTCAAATGTTTTTCACGATGACAGGAAGAATACTATACGATCCTCCTTAAAACTATTATACTGTGATAGAAAAATGTGGATTTTTATGTGACAGGTTGTGTTCGTTAGTAGTTGTAGATACACCCGGCATTTCATATATATACGTACAGACTTAGGGTTCACTGTAGAATCGTCGACAAATACTTAGGATCCATTTCAGAAACTTTGGAGCAATATTCAGGTCCACTACAGAAACTTTGGGGCGGGTTTCGGACCTACTGCAGACTGATGCTCAAACTTAGGGGCAAGCTATCCCACTTTCTTCAGAGTGCCCTGGGAATTTACCCCGGAATTCCTGCAGCAGACCCGAAGGAATTTGCTGGCTGGGAAAGACATTGATGAATCTATGTGATGATAAGATTAGCTAAGATGGTGTAGAGTTTTCAGACTTATTGAAATCACGAAAAACACCAATTTATTCATAAGTAAAAACAGTTTTTTTTGTTCAGCGAAGAAATTTCTTTTCAACGACTTCATTTTCAAGCCAACTGTACAGTCGTATTTATATTACAGAAAAGGTTATCAAGTGGCACTAAATAATTGCTCAGTCAATATACATGTATATATATGTGATAAGAATAACGATAATTAAAATGTTATAAGGGGTACAGTTGAAGTGGATAAATTACAAAATTATTAAAGATTGTTTTATAAGTGAATGGATAACAAAAATATTTTCTTTAAATGTCAAGCATTGTTTGAAAATTTTAAAAATTAGGAGTACGATTACGATAAGAATGAAGATGTGAAATGAAGTGGAATGAATTCAAGTGGTAAAATAAAATAAAGTAAAAACTAGAAAGAACATTACTATGACCAAGGTAGAGAAAGGGGTTTGACAAAACGTTTTTGAACACATAATTTAGGTTTCTGTTCATGTATAGCTAAAGCTTCGGCCATGCATAAGTGAAGAAAACGTAAACTTTTGGATCGATTCGATTTTGCCATGTAGATAACTTTGAAAGATGAATCACGTGGGGCTAAATCACCTGACTCTAACAGGTCATCACAGATAGATGACTTCGCAGTTCTACGTTCGCCTTTCATTAACCAGACTGGATAGTGTTCAGCTAAACGTTTTCGGAGATTACGCTTACAACGTCCAATATAAAAAGCATATATAACATTTTAATTATCGTTATTCTTATCACATATATATACATGTATATTGACTGAGCAATTATTTAGTGCCACTTAATGACCTTTTCTGTAATATAAATACGACTGTACAGCTTGAAAATGAAGTCGCTGAAAAGAAATTTCTTCGCTGAACAAAAAACTGTGGGTTACGACTGAAGGTAAATTGAAAATCTGGATTTCAGCTGTGATTACAGTAAAATGCTAACCTGGTTTTCAGTTGGATCTCGCAACACCTAATTGGCATTTCAGCAGCAAGTAGTCTGAATCCTGTCAAGAACTAAATCAATATGATTTAAATCGCAGCTGTGTCAGATTTCCTACATTGTCTTACAAATGAATAAGTGATGAATGCACAAGGAAGTCGTGAAAGAAAATCCCAGAGATCTCGATCTAACCGGTGAGTTTCACTTAATCAATAACCGCCTTGAAAACTGACATTTCTTAACAAGGAATTGACTTTAATATATGTGTAAAACTTGGGCACTGTAGTTGTAATATGTAATTCCATACTAGTTTGTTTATTAGATATATCACACAGTGAAAAAGTATTATTTACTGGATGACGTTTCGAACACAATTTATTGTTCATAAACAGAAGACCAGTATTTCAACGAAGAGTCTCTTTTCGACAGCGAATTCATTTTCATAGCTGTACAATCGCAAATATATATATGGTTGTTTTGTATGTGTGTGTGTGTACATTAAATTTGTCAAAAGAAAATACAATTAGTAAGTTCAGATGAATTGGATGTTGATATAAGAGAGTAGTAACAAAAGTGATGAGTTGTCACAAACGATTGTTAAAGAAGAGTTACGTAATAACATGAATAGTTTAATGAAAGAGTTGTACTCAAGGTGTACATGGAAACAAAATAACATACGGAATTATACAAGGGTTTTAAGTAGTTAGATGAATAAGCACACAAACAAAAGTTAAGTCAAATCAACAGAGTTGTTACCATGGGAGTAGAAGCGGTTGAATAATTATCTTTTGTATGCACAGTTCTGGTTCCTCTAGCTTAATGGCTAGGGATTCTGCGATGCAAAGAAGACGGAATCGTACTGTCTTTGGAAGGTTGTTCTTCACTTTGTAGACTAATTTGAAGGAGTGGGCGTTTGTTGAGATGGAATGACCAGTGTTGACGAGGTGTTCTATTATCGCACTCCTAATGCAGCCATTACTTCCTTTCTGCAGCCACACTGGATAGTGTTCTTCGACCCTTTTTGACAGGATACGCGTTGAACGACCCATGTACCTGGCTCTACAGCAATAGGTGAACTGATATATGCACAAAGAATTGGTCAAGTGCGGGATCTCGTCTGTTGGGCTTCTGCAGATCAGCGGGCGACTGGAGAACACTACTCTCAATGTTGTCGCAAAAAAGTCATCCTTAGAAAAATGGAAATTCTTCTCCTAAGGACATTACTGAGTAGGTCACCTTTAAAGTCGAGGTTCATATAAAGTATCTTTTTTGGCACGGATGGTGTCTCTTGCTTTTGGATTTTCTGTTTGATGTTTTTGTCTACGAATCTCGATGGGTAACCGTTTTGTTTGAAGGTTTCTTTCAGGATGTGTAGTTCTTCTTCCAAGGTATCAGAGCTGCAGATGCGTCGAATGCAAGTGGCAAGAGATCTAATTAGGTTTCTTTTTCGACTGATTGGTACCCAACTGTAGAAGCTTGTCAGTTGGCCGTTACATGTGGGTTTCCTATGGATGGACCTTCTTAAAGTTCCGTCAGCTCTTCTTGTAAGTTCAACATCAAGAAAAGGGGTTTTAGATTCGTTTTCAATTTCAAGAGTGAACTTTTTAGCTGAGTGGCATTTGTTGAATATTTGTAGTAACTGATTGAGATCGTGACCGTCATCACAGATAATAAACATGTCGTTCACATATCTAACGTACAATTGGAAATTGTCAATAGTTGATTTGAGTGGGCCGTTCTCGAGGCTTGCCATGAAGCAGTCTGCTAGTAATGGGCCATGTGTGTTCATAATCATATCGTCAATTTTAATCACACGACCAGGAAACTTGAGTTTTATAGTTTTCCTTGGTCTCTGCTATTTATCGTAGGGGTAGTAGAATAGCAATAATATTAATGACGACACGCATGTCAAACATAGGCAAGATAATGACAATACCAACAATAAGGAACCTGAATCATCAGTAGTAATTCCATACAAGGAAGGAACCTCGGAAACCTTACTCTGAATTCTTAAGAAGGCAGAAATAACAGCGCCTGGCATTCAAACCACCCACAAACTCAATTAGAAACAAGGTTTGTCAGCTAAAGGATCCTGTGGAATCTTTAAAACAAAACAATTTAGTTTATCTAATACCCTGTCTGCAATGATTTTCAGGTCGAATACATAGGTCAAAGTAGTAGAACAGTGGCAGTCAGACTAGCTGAACATAAAAACCTAGCAAAATTTAGATTAGTCGACCCCAGCAGGATAAGAAATCTAGAGAACAGTTCAGCTATACCACTTACTATATGCAATTGCACACAACCATACAATAGGATGGCATAAGATGACAGTTTTAAAACCTAATGTAACAGGGTATAGGGAGAGATTGATAATAGAAGCTTTGTTTATCGAATCAACTGCAAATACATGTAATAGGAATGATTCAACACCTGTCCCAGATATCTGGAAAATTCTACTGCTACATCCATGACGACAAACAGGAGAAAACAAAGAAAGCTATAAAACTCAAGTGTCAAAGTCGTGTGACTACTATTGATATGATTATGAACAACAATAAATTTTGTTCGAAACATTGTCATCCAGTAAATAATACTGTTTCTTCACTGTGTGATACATCTAATAAACAAACTAATATTGAAAGAATTGACTTTATTACTATAAAATAGGTGCAATCAACTAGAATTTTCCACACAGAACTATATATATACTATATGTATTATTCCTCTGGGTTATGAATGGAACGTTCGACTTCAACATCACATCTCCACTTTGTCCTATTTTCTGCATTCATCTCTAGCTGACTGAACGATTACGCATAAGCTTTTATCTCCTCCTCACATCACTATCCCCTCTATGTATCACCCTCGAACTCCCACATCACCACTTCTCATTTAGGTCCCAGTTGACAGCCTGGCAGTCGTTATCATTCATCGGTTTCCTCAGTGGGTGTTTAATCCATCACCATTTTCTTCAAGATATTTGTTGAGCAACAGGTTCTTGATTGGTTCCTTCCCAGAATCCCTTACTGTCAATCCTTTCTGGTCAGTCATCTGATCTTCAATATCAAAGGAAGGCAGCTGTTGATAAAAATTTACAGTAGCTACTTGGAAGTGGTTTTCATGACCTGACAAGTCTCTGACCCATATAGAAGAAGTGACTAACTTAACGTCAGTGTTGAAAATCCTAATTTTATTCTTTATTCTGAGTGCATCATACTTCCCCAGTGATTTCAAAATGGTGAATGTCTGTCCTGCCTTTCTGATCCTGGTTTTTCCATCAGCGTCCATGCAAAATACTGCAGTAGTTCAAATAGCCACACTTTACGAAAACAAACATAAGTTTAGTAGAAATTCAAAGAAACTATAGTAAACGAAAATATATCGGTGAAAGAATAATTACATGTAGAACAGTGATGATGACTTAATACAACTAGGAGATCACAAAGAGTGAACGGATCTATGCCAACGTGAACGATTTTGAGACATGTTACAATGATGATATGCGCTACCCATACCACTGGCAACTACCTTTACCCAACTCACTCTTGCTCTTGGAATAAACTGGGGGATAGTGACTAGCAGTGGGATCCAAGATGTGCACTTCATCCTATTTGGGACCCGACAATTAGCGGATACTCCTGCACTCCCCAGTAAGTGATGATAGTGTTTCCATCGAGGCTCGAACCCAGTACCCGCAGTTTCAAACGCCAAAGGACCACCATCCACTAGACCACTTGGGCCGCTGGGTCCACCTCTTATGTATAAGGCTTTGACATTTGAAACTATAGGCATGAGGCCCGAGGATCATCAGAAGCACCACCACTCACTGACTCACTAAGGAATGCAGGTATATCCAGCTAACGAGTCCCAAATAGGACGAAATGTGCGTTGTCCTGGATTCCACTGCTAGTCACCATCTACCAATTTACTTCAAGTTAAATAATTAGACATCGTTAAAGCATCTGCAGCACAAGGAACTGACATGTTAACCTGAAGCCAAACACTTCGGTCTAATCAATCAACAGGAATGTTCAAATTGAATTAAATCAATACTATTCTGCTCGACAAAGAAGACACCTGTTTGAAATATGGAGTACACATTTGATGGTATTCATATATAAAGAGATTTCTCAGAAATTATACACATATATATATAAAATGGAATCATTTACTTCAAGAACAATGACAACTTTTCCACCAGCAAGTGATTTCAACTCATGTACAAAATGTCCAAATACCATAGGACTAAGCCACATTCTTCCCTGTATAAAGTAAAACAAACAAAACACAGAGAGTGATAATTATATAGTTATGATTAGAAATATTTTATATCCTGATACAAATACCAGTAAAATAAGCAACAAAAGGTGATAATAAAGAGGCAGAATTTAATGAATTCATTAAAATTTCGGTAAAAATCCTCCTTCCCCTCGTCCTCCTCAGCTGCTGTGAATACTCCACATACAAGAAGTGATATAAAATGAGAGATAAAATGCACTACATGGTTCAATTACGCCACTTAACTTAAATAAACAATTAGTTACTTATCAGTGAATAATGAAAGAACTTGAATATATATCAAGAATTGTGAACTAAATAATACTGATGATAGTAATAATAATAATAATAATTTGCTTTATTCCAAAACAGTACTCGTGATACAGAATGGAATTCTCTGCATTTTTACTACAGTATTGCATCCAGTTGGTACATTATCAATAAATAAAATTCTACATAGATTAAGGAAATCTCAGTTCATCATTACAACAACACATTGGCATGTCGGTAGCTAAGCCAAAGTTGAACACAGTGTTTGAAGGTGTTAGAAAAGTAGGTGCTATCATATTTACTGGCGTTAGCGGAAGAAAGAAACAAAGCAGCACATAACGGAAAAGAGAGAGAGAGAAAAGGAAAAGAAAGAAAGAAAATGTTGCACCTATAAATGATGTGAGTTGGAAAGACGAGGTCCGGTTGTACTACTGACTATTTAATGAATTATAGGTGTCACGCCTAGTGCTTTCTTTATCACACAGAACACGAGCTAAGTAGGGTATGGTTGAGTTTTTGTACTTGCTGGTGCGAGCATATAGTTTTCTATATAGGCTTCTGGTTTTGCCTGATGAGATGCAAGGGGAGAGTTGTGAGTGAAGAGGGTGGTTTGAGTTAGATAAAATGGATTTGGCCCATTTTTCACATGAGTTCAAGTGCCTGTCAATCAGAATATTAACAAGCTGGTTAAGTAATAATAATAATGTTAAAGTGAGTTGAGATAGTGGTAATGATAAAGGATAGTACTATATGAATCAGAAATAGTACTGTAACAACAGAAGACAAGGGGCAGGCAACAGATCGTTTATTAAGGAAATCAAAGCATATTTATATATTTTCATGTACATTATTATAGTTTAGTTAAGCGAACAAACACAGTCTTGGTTGTTTCTCACCTTAACTACAGGTGAACTTGTAGATACAGTTTGAAGCAGAGTCCACAGAATTTCGTCCTTTAATCGTAGGTACAGGGATTGAAAATGTTCGAGATGTGAGGGAACGAGATGCAGCGTAAAATGTGCGCTTGATGGCTGATCGAAGTCTCTGAGCTGTCAACTGCATAATCTGGCAACCCTTGAGTGGTAGATAGGTTAGTAAAGATAGCTTTCTTTGGTACAGAAAATGTCTTTTCGAGATGTGGTCTTTCTTTACTGTGACAAGTGATGAAGTTTTCCAGATAACTTTTAGCTAATAAAACTGAATGTATATGTCGAAACTCATCCATCAATGTGTCACTCGTGCATATTTTTCGGGCCCTTGAAAACAAACATTTCACTAGGGAACGTTTATACTGCATAAGAACAAAACTGGTGAAATGAAGATATTCTCCACTCCATGTCTATTTACGAGAAATAGATCGCTGAATCGTTCCATCGTCTCTCCTGGTCACTGAAATATCCAGGAAACCCAGTTTATTATTCGATTCCAGGTCCGGAAGTCACTCGGATATTTGGATTAATATGATTAAATAAAGCAATAAAGTTTTAAGTCGACTTAATATCTTATTACTAATAATGAGTGTATCATCCACATAACGTTTGTATAGCACAAATTCTCCTACTATGCCTTACACTTCAACTTTTGAGTCTCAAATTTGAATTAATTAGATGACTACTCGAATGTCCGTTGCACTCCAGTCAGTCTTCAGCTAATAATGTTAGTTTTCTAAAGCAGAACTCTATCTTGAAGTCGATTAATTACTCAGAAATCCTTTTGATTGGACACTAGTTAGTAAGTAGTGTAATGTATCTAGTCCTCTGTTTGGTGCAGACTAAATTCTTTCTATCAGTCACGTTTGCAATGCAGCCAATGTCCAACCAAAATTATCCAATACACTCCTACACAAGGTCAGTCGAGAGCCTGAATAGCTGACTCAGTGGTAACGTTTCTGACTGTAGCATTGGGTGACGTCGCTTTGAATCTCAGAAGGGACTTGAGTTCCTTCAAGGCTGCAAATACGCCTTGCTGACTGGTGAGTGCCAAATAGCACGAAACCTAGGTCAAGCAAGGCTTCCTGAAAACGATTGCCTCCAACCATCTAATACCAGCTACACATAAATCATTTAAACTCCGAAATTTTATACTACTGATAAATTCACGTGAGTAGTTGCATACTACTCAGTCATCTTATCAACCAGTTGTGTTTACTACCCAGCTAGCTCGAAGAAATCCAAAAAAAAAACACCGGATAGTTGCTTCGCTTGTTTGGGGCTGAGCTCATCAGCTATGCATATGGTCTGCCTGATTCCAGAAAGCCGATTCAGTTTAAACCACCCAAATTCTTGCATAGGTAATTTTAAAACTAAAAATAGTATTTGCGCGATAAAATGTATCTTATGAATAAGCGACAATACTAGATGATAACCAAGTCTAATTTAGCTGTATGCATACTTTCCAACTGATAAACATTTAAGCATAGCTGTTAGAACAGCCTAGAAAGCAACTCAACATGTTTGTAATGGACAAAATTTGTTGGAAAATCCCTATTGGACGATCTATTTACAATATGCTTACACTTATTCAGACAAATTTCAACTAACTTTGTTATTAGTATACGTTTTTCCTTTAGACTGTGCATAATTAATTTGACATTTTGATGTGGTTGTGTTCTCTGCGCTGGATGGTTAATTTACGAAGTTGTCATTGCCCTACTAGGCAACATCTTCAGCACATACTTCAATTTGTGGAAGCGAGCTTTTAGATTTCTCCACGAGTTTATTATTCATCTCTCCTGATGGGTGACCTTGAACGTGGTTGGTTGTTTTTGTGTATTTTCACACCCTCTGGGCTACTTGTGTATTGATGCAGATTGTTTCCTTGACCTGAAGTTTTAACGTTTGTGTATATGATTTCTTTGTTTATCTCGATGTGTCTATTGATTGACAATTCACTGGAATACCTGGCTGGCTTCTAAAATTTCTCTAGCATTCTTGGTGTTTCCTCCGTCTAATATTTGAACGCTGGTTGTCCCAGTCGAATTGATGTTCGTGGTTGTCTGTATGCAGTGAGGCAATATGAGGGAGTGGATGTCATGTCTTTTGAAGGCTAGTTTATGTTCATGCATACAAAGATGAAGAGGATATGCATTTTGGTCAATGTAGTGTTTTTTCACAGTTGTTACAATTTATTTTGTAGATGATGTTGACTTTATCTTCTTTTGTTGTTTAGTCTTTTGGTTGACATAGAACTGAGTGAAATGATTTTGTCGGTTTGTGTGAAACATCAATTCCTAAAGGTTTAAAGAGTCTTGCAGTGATTTTTGAGATGTCCTTTATATATGGTAGGGTGATTTTCTTTGTGCTTTCCTTGGTTGGGGCCTTTGATTTGATTATTATCCGTTTTTCTCCTTAATTGTGAATCATCATTAGTTTGAAATTTGCATATCACAAGTTTGATTTCCACCTTTACTATTTGTCTTTGTCCTTATTCAATCTTTAATTGCATCAATTCTCTTTGTGGTTGCGTGTACATCGATAATGTTTTGTTTAATGATGATATGAGTTTAGTTGAGTGGATGAAAATCATTCTGACATGGGACTGTCTACAGCAGGAAGCCTTGGTGTGTAATTCTTGTGAACAGAGCTTTTGATCCCACCTCTCTGGCAATATTCTCCTCCATGATTCTGAGGTACCTTTTCACAGTTGAACATTAGTTAACTAATTTTGTCTTACAGCACTTGTTTTGTATCTAGAAACATACATTGCCTGTATAGCTAACTGCCTCATGGTACTGTTGGTCTGGTCTGTTTTCGACATAGAACTTTGCACATATGTGCGGCAGTTCAAGTCGCCACACTCCATGTAGCACACAAAGCAAGCGTCATCTCCTAGCTTAGTGATAGGGAGTGAAGTGATGGAACATGTTGACCACTTCACCTATTTGGGAAGTTGTATAAGCACCAACGGATTGATTGATTGGTGACGAAATCTCAGCACGGATCCAAAAAGCTCGGGCTGCTTTCGCTAACTTACGCCATCTCTGGCGTAGGCGTGACATCCGGCTATCAACCAAGGGACGTGTGTACTGCTCAGCAGTTCGCTCCGTCCTTCTCTATGGCTCTGAAACATGGCCAATACGAGTTGAAGACATGAAAAAGTTGACTCTTTTTGATCATAGATGTCTACAATCTCTTTCTCACGTTAGGTGGTATAATAAGCTAAGTAATGTTGACGTTAGGCGTAGAGTGTTGGGCAAAGAGGGAAAATCAATCGAAGAGGCTGTAAAGTTACATAGATTGAGATGACTAGGTCAGGTGCTGCGCATACCTAACCATCGCCTCCTCCGACGGACGGGCGTTACTAGCTGATATAAGTGCAGGTTGGAAAAGAGTAAGTGGTGGCCAAACAAAAACATGGCCTCATCAATCCATGAAATCCCTGACAGTTAAACTGAGTCAGGTAGGGAGATGCAGACTTCCGGGTTGGGGCCGTCGGGACTCTAAGAATCAATGGCTGGAGACAATAGGTGACATGGCTCAAAATCGTTGTCAATGGCTTACACAGATGTATTCAGTCTCTGTAATCTTTCATATTCCTTTCTAGCACTACTCATTCTGTTTCACTCTTATACTTGTCAAAACTCTATTGTGATTCTCTTCACTCATTTTCTTGTCTACCTTTGTGTGCTATTTGGAACGTGGCAACTGGAACTGCTGCACTTCGGTGCCAAGTTCTACGTTGAATCCAGACAGACAGACAGACACAAGGCAAGTGA